CAAATTTTTTTTTCCCTCGTATTTGCATTTTTTTAAATTGTTTGTCTCGACGGATTAACGGAAGGTGAAAACGTGTTTTTTCGGAATGATTGAAATTAATGAAAAGATTCAGATGATTAGATCGGAAAGAATGAAAAGAAAAAAAACCATTACTCTAACGAACCGTTTTATATTGGAGCCACTTTCTTTAGACACGGAATCCCAATGGTAATTAACGTTAATTTAAGTTGCAAGGAGATTTAAATTTTTTTTTTTTTGTTTTACTCCTTTTTCTTTTAGTCTAATTTTTAAACATTTCGTTTTACCCGGTACGCTCGACAGCGCGTAACAGATAGTCGAATCGTGTGTCACAAACATCTAAACGCACCGAAGTCAGCATATATATACATTACACACACACATATATAACTGCTACATAAAACATTGTGACAAAATGTTTTTTTTTTCATTAAAGTATTATTATTATTATTATTATTATTATTATAAAAATAATAATACGTATATGGTTTTTTCGACGTTTTTACGATTATTTTCTTGTACAATTTTTTTTTTAAATCAGTATGGACTGCGAAAAACGCCATAAACCGAACTCTAAAATGCGTGGAAATATGTACTTCGTGTCCGTGAACAAAACGCAATTATCATGCATTTACATAACTTAATATGCAATGAAAATTACATATTTTCGCTCCAATATATGTTGTTTTGCGACTTGGCTATAATCACCGAGATTATAACATGTATCCGAGACGTCACGTGGATGTAAATTAAATTTTCGAAACAAAAATGTATTACAAATAGTATATTATATTTAGTTTAATTTACTTACTATTGGTTACTAAAATATTTAATCAGCGTTATCGTGTAAATTAATGGCGGACGGCTAAATTCTTATCTGTATAGACTAGTATACACCTGTATAGTGGACAATGCGACATAGCCATGAAGTTTTTTTTTAACAAAAATCATAGAAAAATGTCCATTTGTATTCAATATTGTATATAGTTTTTCTACACTCAACATTAAAAACTAAATTAATTCAAACTTTTTTATGAAAATTAGAATGATGATTTTTACTACGATAATCTACCTTAACCATTAATACTATAGTTTAACAAATATCATAAATATGTTTCATAAAATAATATCTTAACTCAAAATTGTACAGTTCATACTTGTTGTGTGTACATTGAGAATATATTTACGAGTACTTTACATACTTCGATAGGGCAACGAATTCTTTGTGAAATGACTTGTAAATTAAAGATTTTAATACAAATAAAAAAAATGCAGGCCTTGTTCTGTTGTTCCATCTAATGACTAATATTTTTTACATAGTTTACAAGTGAGTGTTAAATTATATGAGTGTTAGGAATAATAGCTATTTAGATAAAATCGTTGATAAATTGTTGAACGATATCAAATCCTATTACCTATTAAGTATTGGTGTATCACTATTATATTATTTACTCGGTATTAATATTTACTTTTTGTATTTATTTATATACATTCAAATTGAATGTGTAGATTTTTTTTTATAATTAGATTTTCATCATAGGAGTTTGTCAATTGTGTAAAAAAAATTTAATTTTAAAATTAAAATTATTATTTCCTAATATACCATTTAATTCGAGAACACATGTATACATTGTAATATATTATGAATGGAATTTTAAATAAATTAAAATTATTAATGATACTTTTGAACTATTTAATAATACATAATGTTATATCATTAACATAGTTTATTATGCATCAATTTCCAAGCTAAAAACATCGATAACCGTTCTACGAGCAGATAAAATATAATGTAAATAAATTTGTTTAATATGAATAGTAAAATAATATTTTAAACATTCTTTTCCAATGCATAAAGTAATTATGGTATGTTATCAAATAATAATTTATCATGACTATTTTTCATAAACGTTTCGCTCACGCGTCACGCCCTCAGATCGTAATCATATATTTGTGTGGTTTTGTGAAAATTCTTTGATTATTGAAAACTGATAAGAATAATTGTTTTTATTTTTTTTATTGTTATTATTATTATTTTTTTTTTTGGAAAAATAATTTTTAGAACAAAAAATTCTGTGGGAACTTCTGATATATTTCATTTGTGATGATAAATATTAATATAGTTTTACGTAATGAATAATTTTATAACACGTTGCTCAAACATTACGATTTCGTAAGATTAAAATTTACTTAAAAAGCATTATGATTTATTTTTGGAATGACGCATCGCGATGTAATGATAAGAACTGCACGGGACGGAGTGAAAGGGTACATATTAAAAAGGCCTACGTCAGATTTACGGCCTAATTACCAGATACTTATCGGATTTTATTTTTTTTTTGTGATTAATGAAGGTCAAGGATCAGACCAATACTCCCGTTGTAACTTATTCTTATTGTAAGACAAACAAAAAAATACATATAAATAAATAAATAAGTTAAGCATATATGATTATAAATATTTTTGTGTTAAGCAGTTAACATACGTATTATATGTCGAAAAGAAAACAATTTAGCTCTGTAAACGTATGACTGTCGTATCATTCCAGGATAGACACTCGACCGTTTTGTTTGTCCAGGATTTGTATTTAAGACACACAACACGTATTTATTATAATAAAAATATGGTACTAATCGATGAGAAAACTCTTGGAATAAAAATGTCTACTAAAAATGCAATAGGATTTGATATTTTTACAAAAAAAAAATATATATAAAAACGTTAGAAGTAAATACATATAATGTCTATCTCGCAGGAGTTAACGAAAATGTGCAAGTGACGTACAGTTTTGGTACGATAAGAGAATAAAAACGTATTGAATGTAGTGTACGCGCGCATATGTATTTATGATGAAATTTAAATTACACGCAGTGGCATTGCGTATAGGTGTATACGTGTTTGTACGTATGGACGTTGGGTGTAAGGAACACGTGTTCACGCAAGTACACTACGGCGAAATATTAAAATCATCCTGTTTGTACGTTATCGCTGGTGCAACGCCGAAATCAATTTATTATATTTTCCACTACGGTCAAATCGTAGAGGAGTTTATGTGCGCATACCAGTGTACTACTCCGAATATTCACCGTTTTCGTTTATATTTCAAAAATGGGATGGAACTAATGATATCGAACTGAGCACATAATACGTACAACGTTTATGTATACCTTATATTATATGTTATACATTATCATTTGACAATTACTGATAGTGACTTAGCGAATATTTCGAATATCCCAACAACCGGTCGAGTGCAGACACATTGTAAAAATGAATATTTATATGTATACATATATACAGTAAATGGGTGATAACAGTACGAAATTAATAATATGAAGGCGTATGTTTTTGCTTTTAATCGAAAAACTGCGTTCGGCTAGGTTAAGGAAACGCTGTCGTCTAACTAGACGACACATTAATCAAGTATAGTTTTCACGGTTTTTTGATTAAATTATACGACACGGGCCAATGGAAGCTGTAACGTGTGACGATTGGCTGGTTGCGGGTTTTATGATTCTAAATAAAATTATCTTTACAGCGGCAATAAAAAAAAAAAAATCTAATAGTCGTTCCCGCGAGAAATATTTTACGTTAGAAAAAACCGCACTTTTAACGGCGTTACTTTTACACAAGATAAAAGTTTCGTGTGAGGTAAATTAGTTCTGGTATGGATTCAACCTTGGCAGATGTACTTAAAAACAGTTTCATGACAACACTTTCAGACTTAAACAATTTGAAGTTGCGATAAAATTTAAAAATTCCCATCTCAAATATTATTTCATATCTATATTTATGAGCGTTTATTTTCTATTAAGAGTAAAATAAAAGTTAGCCACGTTTTTCACTCTTCGACATAGAATAAATGCGTGATTTCGAACACACGATTTAAAACGAATATGACCCAAAAAAAAAGTACATTTCAATAGAAATCATTGATTATCAGGATTTTCGTACTTCAAAATTAGGTACAAAAATGATGCATTATCACTGTTCCTCTGACTATTCCTTTCACCAAGTTCCGTAATGTGTGATAAATGCTTGTTTTATTTAGTAATTTCGTTTATTATGATTATGGGTGATAGCACCTGTATTGTATGTAATTATAAACGTTCGTCGGCGTTGTTTTTTTTTATCACGAACTTAACGACTTAAACGTTAACGTGTCCGTCTATACACGAACGGAGAACAAACTTACCCGTAGACTTACATCGGTCATTAAGATCACGACAACTAACAACACAACAACAACGAAATATATCGATCATCGTTTAATCGTCAATTTACAGACCAACATATATATATATAGTGGAAGTGAGAATATTAATAAATATAATAGAGGATTCATGTTTATCAACAAAAAAATACGATTTCATTGCGATACGTCTGGGAAATCTTAACAATGTTAAAACATGCAAGGTATAAAAAAAAACCCGACCCTAAATGTTCGTCTGCCTGGCGATCGCGAATACGCGCGCGCGCGTGAGACACTGTTATAGGATTTGTTTTTTGTAGCGTAGAGACGAAGACAGGTGTAGAGGAGAAAAAATGAAAAAAAAAATCATTCGTTCATAAATCATCGAAGACCGCGTGTTGGATCGCAACGACAGTCGTATATGGAAACACATCCGTAAGGGAACACGTATGATTTTACAACTGAGTTGAAAATCAAAATTGGCACGTTATCGGAGCCTATCAAAAATGGCAATGTGTTTTTATAAGAACAGTCACGCGGCGACTAATTTATATTAATTATTGTTATCAACGCATTACGTCCGATCAACACGAATGCGTTACGTCCTTGCGACGATCAATCCTATCGATCGGTCATGGCCCGCCCAGGACCTGCACCGAAGGCGCGTTTCGCGGATGCCGACGCGGAGGTGGTTTCGCGCCCCCGAACTGCGTCTCTTGGCGCGCGTAACAACACGGGACCAAAGCTCAAAGCCCAAAAACGTTAAATCGGAAAAGCGGTCGTCACTTACGTGTAACCGGGTGGCGCGTACGCCGCGGAGATCGTGTCCTGTATCATAGCGTCCGGTTCGGGATCGGCGACACCAGACGAAGAAGACATTGTTGGCGGCGACCAGCTGGGTACGCGGTCATGTCAAAGACATGTCATACGCGAATATCGTGGAAGAAAAACGAATCGGTACCGATTGGTGACGCGACGGTCGGGGAGGCGCGATGTTTCGCGCGGTAATCGGTGAGTTCCGTTTTTGGCCGGACAAAAAAAAAAAATCCAAGCGTTTACGGATTTCGCGCGACGCGAAATCGGAACAAAAAGCGACCGGAACCGCACTCGTGAATTGCGACACGACGGTCCGCGCGTTTTCGCGACGGTTTCTATATATATTTGAACGGCGGGCTGAAAAAAAAATGTACAGCCGAAGACGGAAGAAGATAAAAACCGAACGCGACGGAACGAACAGACTGGGGTATCGACGAACGAACACTGTTTCCGGACGGTTATTATTACTTGATTTCGTACGCGAAACGTCGCGAGTGCGTGGATCCGAACGAAATGTGTGCGCGGACGGAACGTGTTTCACGCGCGCGGGAGCGGACCACGAGAACGACCGGACGGGTTATGGCGTACTGAATCGGTTTCGGCCGGCGCGCAGTGTGCGCAGGACGACCAAAGGGGATAACCGGCACCTAAACGTGTTACCTGGCCTTCGTGCGCCGCGCGCCGCGCTAGTGATGTGCTCGCCGTCACCGTTGCGATGCGCTCCTCTCTCTCGCTCTCTCTCACTCTCGGTAAGTAGTTATAATAATAATAATAATAATAATAATAATAATAGTTATAATAGTTATAATAATGATTATAAAATTGTGCACCGAAACATCCGTGGCGGAAAGGAGGGACGATTACGAGCGCGAAAAACATGTATGCGCACGCGCACCGACGAGTCCGATCGTAGTTCGGAAATCGAATGTTACCATTATCATCGATGTGCCCTCCGTTGCTCAGATTTGTAATTCGTCAACGATTGTGTCCGTCCCGACTTTTTTCGTCATCGGGCAACGCCGTCGTCAACTGTTCTACCCGAAGTTTTAGGATTTGTCGGACGTAAAACTACTGATCGATTTTCGACGAATACACTATAAATATCACGGGAAAAATGAATTCTTGGTGAAACCACAATTCTCAGTGTGCGGTTAATAAATAATCTCAACAGCTCTTGTAACCGCGATAAAGTTTAGATCTATAAAACCTGTGGGGGGGGGGGGCTGTCTATGATGAACGCAAACACATTGCAGTGAAGTAAACATTTTTTTTTTTTTAATTATTCTACACTGGACTGAAAATATTTTAAATAATTTGATACCACGACAATGGTAATTTTAAAAGTTAATATTTACCGAATGAATTTCAAAAATAATTAAAATGTATGTCTATGTTTTAATTTAATTGATTTCGTCTAAAGCACAATATTAAGAAATATAATTCTGTGACATTAAAACCATCTTTTTGTTTCTGTTATTAAGATACTTCTGATTTTATTTATGTTAACATTACTTTAATCTATAATCATTTTAGTTATATAATATTATATTGTACTATACTTTTCAATTCTTATTACATTACGTTTATGATTTATTTAGTATTTATTTTCCAACTTAAATACAACATCTTCAGATGTCTATTACACCATTTGAATTGTATAATATTTGTAATGCGTTGTATTATAGTTAATTTAATTAGTATTAAAATTTAGTTGTCTTATATTTTAATAAGTTCATAGAGTGTTATTTGATTAAAAAATCTAATGAAATCGAGAAAAACTTCGTTTTACTTAAATTTAATATAGATGTGTGTTTTTACTATAGTTTTACTTGTATTATTTGTTAATAAAAATAATAATAATTCCTATGGATTAATCAAACATATTTTGTTGCACAGAAATATTATTTTTCTTCATATATTTTTTCTCTCTCTCAGTATGTTAACGTTAATTAGTACTGCGTCGACATTTTCTATTCTTAGCGTTATAAATGAAGTTATAGAATTTATATTTCTAAGCTCCTTTAGCTATACATATAAATATTTATTAAATATTGTAAATATAAAAAAAACATTTGCTATTTTTTATTTGGTTTTGCCGACTTTCCGTGTTCGTGATATTATATGTAAATTATTATGTACATTATTACAATATTATGATTAGTGAAAATCTATTTATTGTATTCCATATAATATTAAATAAAACATTTATGGATCATATTTCATTAATATTACATAGGTACGCGGAAAAAATATTAAATTTCGTTGTTCGATTACAATAATGAAGTCGTGTTTAAAAACCAATGACCGATTGTAGTCGCGTACATTATGCATAATATAATAATATATTACATTTAGACTAACTGATTGGGGTGTGCGAAGGCGTTGCCCCCTACTGATCCGTGATCAGTATTTGATAAAAACCCCACCCGATCTAAAATATTGTGTGTTCGACAGGTGTTGGTACAATAGAATTATATCATATATGCTGCAAATTTTGTATTTTATATTTTTTTTTTTTAGGCCAATGCTTAACATATCATAAACCTGTAATGGATGTATGAAAAATTATCAATGATACAATCGTATATTTTAATATGACGACTTTTGCTTATTATTCATTCGATGACATATTTAAAATAATATATTTCTAAGATTACGTTAAGATTGTTGACATTGAGTTTATTTTTTGTTGTCTATAAGTTATTTGAACGACATGGTAATATATTATGAAACTTAAATGGATATGTAAAACGCAATGATTATGTTTGGTGTATGAGTCTTAAATAAATAATAATTTATTATAAGTGGCTTTACTCTTTGTTTATTTGTAATTATTGATACAAGTTGTAACAAAATTTGTAGAATTTATCATTTACTTCTAAAAGAATAATCAACAAACATAATCAATTCGTATATTAATTAATCCAAAGTGAATGTACGTATTAACTAACCTTTAATTAAATAATACATGTACGTAAATGATTCTGATTTTAAACGCTATTTTTATGATTAACTAGCTGAATAATCCAGCTTCGCCCATGTGCAGTTTTTGTGTTACCTACGTGTAAATTTTTTTTTTTATCAACTTTATCTTACAGGTTGCTTTTAGATTTGTTGACTCTATATTGACGGTGTATAGTAAAAACCAGAAATTGGAAAAAATAGTATATTTTATTATTTCAGAGACTAATTCGAAAATGCAATTCTAATTGGAAAAATGTTAAAATAAAATATACCTATAAAATTATAACTTCCTGTACAGATTTTTGGTTAAAAAAATGTTTTAAGTATTATTATTATTATTTATTAGATCACCTTGTTTTATTAAAAATAGCCAAAAATATTAAAAACAGAATCACTAATGACACACGCCACCGTGATTATTTTAAAATCGAAATATAATATAATATATTATTGATAAAGTGTTGAATATGAGCAGTGGCGTATTTAGGGGTGGTGTCCTGGGGGTTAAACCCCCCCCCCAATTTTTTTGTAGTTCTATTTATTACTGAAGTATTGCAAAATATTGTTGACGAATGACGAAATATTTTAAAACTGCTTTGAAAATTGAATAATATATATTTCATCTTATACCAGAAAATAGGTACTATTCATTAGCAAAATATTATTTGAACTTTCGCAGTAAACCGTGAACTACGTATTTCTTAGAATTGTATTATCGTTTCGTGATGTCGGGTGAGCCGTATTATTGGTTATCACCTTATTATCTTTCTTCGAATACAAGTTATTGTCAACTAATTACTATAGCAAAGGCCGACGATATAAAGTATATACTGTGTACAGTGTACAGTACACTCGAAGTATCTACAACGATTTTATTTTTTGCTGAATAATTAAGAATTTAAGTAGATATCCTAAGATTTTTTTACTAAAAAATTACCATTTATGTAAGGTATTAAGATGTATTATAATCAGGTATGAATTCGTGATGAAACTATGTTAATATTTGTTGAGATAAAGTATTGCCAGGAGTCAGGACACCCTCCAAAAAAAATCTCAAAATACGCCACTGAATATGAGCATTAATATGTATTCGAGATAAATCAACTATCATTGGTCTCATTAAATATATTATTATATTAATTTTAACAAACAGATTAATAAAAAACATACCTATAATATCTTTATGATACAATTTTAACAATAACTACTTTATTGTTTATAGCAAATGCACTGATCAAGGTGCACATAAAAATATATACTATCAATTTTTTTCCATTTTTATCCATTTTAACCCTTTAGAATTTTTGAATTTTGAAATATCCATTCTTAGGGTTTTTTTTTATTTCATAAAATTAACATACTGACTAAATTTCAAACTTAGAGCTTCAGTGGTTCCGGCTAGGCGATGATGAATCACCCAGGACAAGTAATTTTATATTTATTATTAAGGTAAATCTATAAAAAACAAAGACTATTTCAAAATTTCCTTATTAATAGAATATAGGCTATGATGTGTGATTTATGTTTATTAATTATATTTATGTTCTTGAATTGATTTATTTTATAAAATTTAATTAAATGGGTACTATTTTATAGTATATTAATAGGTAATTTATCGTTTAAATTTTAAACTTTTAAGTTAATTTGTATTAAAAAAATAAGAACTATTTTTATATAATACTTAGTCATTTTATGTGACTCATAATAATTGAGATGTTAATAATAATATTTAAAATTGAAATATTTTTGGTATGAATAAAACTTTATAAATATATATTTAGATGACAATTTAAATAAATTTATGATTTATTTAGTTCAATTTTAATATTAGACTATATGTATGAAATCAGTAGCGTTTAATGTAAGACATATCGACAAAATATAGTTTAAAACATATTATTGATTAATAATAGTTATTAAGAGTTACGAAATAATATATATATCACTATTCGTGGTAACTATCTTATATAATTAAAGTTACTAATTAACCATAGTTACTTGAGTACAACGAGTTGCTATGATAACTCACTAAAAAATAAAATTACCAGATTGATAGGATTTTATTAGCTGAGCATAAGTAACATTTTTTATTTCTGGCTATAAAAATCGCTTATTTTAATATTAAATATATAAATTAGGTTAGGATTAAATTATCGCCTTCCGTTTGACTTCATTTTCTGCAACATTAAGATTTTAGTGATCATGGGAAAATAAAGGATATAAGGTAGGAATATATACTATTATTAGTTACGAAACCGACTGCATAACGTTAATCATAATGAAAAAAAGATGTACCGTCAATGTAAACAATGGATTACGACTCGAGAGAAGTGAAGATGTTCGGAAACCAGATATAAAGAAAATGCATGGTCGAATGAGTTTATAAAGTTATCAAACTATGAAAATATGAGATTAATGAATTGATAATGATTTTGAAATAGCAGTAGCTCGAATGAAAAATGTGTTTCTATAACAATTAGATATTTAGATACAGAATATGAGTATTCCAATAGAATACATTTTGTTGTACTTTATACGTATTAGTTATTTATGATGTACTTGAATAAAAATAAAAATAAATGAAAAATTTCTTTAAAACCTTTTAATAGGTACAGA